GCATCACGGGCCAAGACGAGGATGGTGCTGTCGACTGTGGCACCGGGAAGAGCATCGGCAGATGGGAGAGGAGCAGGAGATGAAGCAGCAGAGGGGATGATAGAGATGGTGGTCAAGGGGTTGATGGAAGGGAAGGCTGAGACGATAGGGATCACCTCGCTGGCAATGGGTTGCGTGGCAGCACGAGAGGAGACACCTGTGGCCTGAGCAGAGGTCACGGAGGCAGACCTCACCGAAGCAGACGTCGCGACAGCAGAGGTGGCAGCAGCAACCACAGAGCTCCTGGAGGAGGTGGCCACTGGAGAGCTGCTTGTGGTGCTGCAAGTGGTCAGACCCAACGAGCAGACCAGCCCGCCGATGATACCGCCGAGGACCATCTCGAAGGCAGGTAGAGCCGAGTGTATCACTCAGCCAAAGAAGGGCGAAAAAGAACGAACGAAACAAGTCAAACTGTTTGAACGAGAGGAAACGACAGTCGAATGAAGCACAATGAGGATGTTACCAAACAATTCGTGGGCGAGGAGCTGACCATGATATACCTGCTTACCTGCTCTACTACCTGCGGTGTAAGTCGCATCTACGACTATCTAGAACCCTACATGGAGAGCATTCAGCGCGGGCAATACAGCCAAGACAAGTCCCACATTGTCTCTCCCTCACGGATAAGACGGCTTCTTTCTGATCAGCAGCTGGCGAAGTTTATCGTGAGATCCATGCATGTTGGAAGTATCCCTGATCAAGACTGTGGTATGACTGGATGTGGCAGCAGCGGCGAGAGAGCGCCCTGCAGGCGAAAAACAAAATATTGACACCAAGCCACCAAACAGGAACAGCTGCCCCAGTGCTTTGGCCTTCAAAGGGTCAAAGAACGGCGGAGCTGATCCGCTGTCCTGACACCACCCGCATTCACGATATGTATGTCGCCTCCACTTGGAAAGTCTCACATTCCGCTTCCCCAATCGAATGGGAGGGGGCAACAGGGGTGCTTGTTGTTTGAGCAGGATACGGATGGGCATTCTTACATGGAAGCTGGCATACTGGGAGGGGGACTGAGCGTGAACGACGAATCAGCCCTAGAGTTACTGACAGGCCGCCAGTCGATCTCCTCGTTTCGATCACCGATCGCCAGCAAGCTGGAATACACATGGCGACCTGGAGAGCATGGATCAGGATACTGATTAGAGAGAGATCTACGATTTAGTCAACCCAGGCTAGGGAACCTTTATCCGATACAGAGTGGCCGACCCTCAGTGCTTGTAGGGCATAAGCAGCAACCAAGCCTCCATTAGGGCACGGCAAACATCGATAGAAAGACAATGCAGAGACCATGGCGTGTTGCCGGGGCCCATTGTTTGATTGATTGGTGCGGGAAGAGGCACATTGTAAGAATTAAGGTGCGATGGCGCGTGAGAGGTTCGCTTCAAAAGCTCGTATTCAAAAGTCGGGACAAGGAACTAGGTTCAGAGACGCAGAGTCGCCATAACACAGTGTTTGCCAAAGTGCGTGTTGTGGAGAGGGAGTGGTGAGCACTTGAGCGTCCATGGCATCGGAAAAGTGCCTGAGGTGCGGCAGAGAGCGAGATGCTATAGGGCGAGCTGCGGGTTGGTGTAGGACTAGCAAGACGCGAACCAAAGGCCACGACAGGGATCAGCTGAGGCCGACGACGATGTACCGGTACAAGATCTAGATGGCGGGTCACTGGGGTGAGACCTGGTCCAGTGTTTATTCAGCGGGGGCTGGCCAGGGGGAGGGTGAAGGAGGGTGACAGGGTAAAAGGGGCAGGGAGGGTGAGCGACAACGCACACTCTGACGCTCTCACCACCGACGTGCAGGACAAGCTGCAGGACCATGTCCCGACACCGAATTGACGTGCTTCCAGGCCTGAGACAGGTCATCCGTGGTCTGTTTCTGACCCGCGTGTTGCTTTTATTAGGCCAGGGCTGGTGCAACACGAGCAAACAAGTGGGCTTGGGCGACCGCTCGAGGCATATACGAATTCCAGCCCATCCCGACCCCGCGCGAGCCCCCTTCTCGAAGGCGCGACTGCAGCGAGCGAGTCAACTTGCCCGTCCGCTGCCCCTGAGATGAAATGATGCTGTCTCGAGCGGACCAGCGGGCGGATGGCAGTGGGCACCTTAGCCGGCGCCACGAAATTAAATAACGAAGCCCGGTACGATTTAAAAGACGCCACAAACCAATATTCAGGTACCCGTAGCCCTTAGCGGTGTTAGCGCTCTCCAGTGACACAAGCGGCTACAAGGCGAGCAATTCAGGTGAGGTGGGAATCAATGGAAGAGATTTCCAGTCAATTTCACCGATGGAGCGGGCACTGGTCCAGCTCGGCCATCGAGTCAATCGAAAACATGATTTTAGTCTTACAAGGAAGCTTACCTGCTGGGCCAGCCCAAGTGCCGAGAGCGAGAATCTCGTAAGGCTAAACAATAAATCTTTTCACGGGAGACAGGGGGTGCGTGGCCTGAGGGTCGGCGCTGAGAACAGGGGGCTTCATGAAAAGTCTTGAAAGAGGCATCTGCGGAGATGGCCTGAAGCGCTAGAACCATGGCACGGGCTCCCAATTGGGACCAACACTCACGTATCTGGCCGCCCGCATCCAGCTGGAACTCCGGATGCATGCACCGACTGTGCTTTGAACAAATCTGCGCTTAGTGTCACCTGAAACCCGCATTTGATCGCCCACAGGCCCAAGCCGTGCGCTGCCCAAAGCGAGCCCGAGCTGGCCCAGTGCGCAGAGCCAAGAGCCAAGAGCCAAGCCCGGCTGAACTTCTGGGCTCGCTCCAGGCGCTGGCACCGAGACACTGCTGCACGGCCACAGCGCTGTGAAGTCTAGATTCGTGCCGTGTCTCGATAGGTCACAGGCCTGCAGCGCAGTAATGCTGCGGACTGCCACTAATGTTTGCCTGCCCTGGCGCTCTCGACCAGTCAGCCAGGCGCCTAGGCCACCGTCCCTGTATCCGCTGTAGCGCTCACAGCCGCTATTGCTGCACGTACTGTGCTGAGCGCTCTAGTGCAGGTCGACAAGTGAGCGCCAAGTCGAGACTCATTTCGCTCAAGATTAATCGCAAGCAATTGGCCGCGTCAATCGTTTTTTCGTTGCCCTCTCCCAGCGCTTCCGCACCGGGCCTTTTGATCGCAGGCGTTGCAGCTTTGCCAGTCCGATTGAGATCACGCAGGTTCAGCCGTCCAAGAATCAGGCTATACGCCAGTGATGACTTCCAGACACAAAGCCCTAAGGCCTAGACTTCAGTAGAACGGCAATCCGGCCTTGTGTCCAAGCAGCCACAACGCCAAGACCAGTGGCTCAGGAGGACGCGAGGTCCCTTTGCAGGATCATTCTCATTATTATTACGTCCTGCGGACAAAGGGCAGACTCGTGGGCGAATCTCCCTTTAAGCTATCTGGGGTGGCCGGACGTTAAAAACAACTCTATCGGCAGTTTTTCCCACTGCCGTCAACTAGTCTGCTGCGACTATCTCTATTTACAAACCTCGCTATCTATCTCCCTTCTCTCATCCACTCGTTTCAGACTGTTTCTTTGTTTCCCCCGGGGCATCATGTTCGGCTTCGGAAAGGACCAGTCCCACACCAAGATCGATGCGGCGGAGAAGCCGCAGCGATGGTGCACCTTTCGCAGGAAGATGCTCGTCCTTGTCGGTGTCGTCCTCGTCCTCGTCATCGGCCTCGCTGTAGGGCTGGGCGTAGGCTTGACCCGAGGCAAGGGCAGCGGCGGCGATGATGATGGCAGCGACGACGGCAGCCACAACAAGTCGAACAACACCGACGTGCCAACGTCCGGCCCCAACCGGACTGAGATCTGGAAGCCCAAGCCCAACACCTCGTGGCAGATCATCCTCAGATACCCTGCCGATATTAGCTCCAGCAGTGTCGTCAGCCCTGATGTGGACGTGTATGACCTGGATCTCTTTGACAACCACATCTCTACCTTTAAGACTCTGCAGGACAGCGGTAAGAAGGTCATCTGCTACTTCAGCGCCGGCTCTTACGAGGACTGGAGAGAGGACAAGGGCGAGTGGGATGACAAGGACCTGGGCAAGGGCCTCGAGGGCTGGGCCGGCGAGAAATGGGTCAATGTGTCCAGCCCCAGCGTCCACAAGGTCATGAAGGAGCGCATCAACCTCGCCTGGAGGAAGGGGTGTGATGCCATTGACCCTGACAATGTCGACGGATACGTAAGTACATACTCGCCTTCTCAATGGGGGCGTCACGAACCCGACGTTCGAGTCTTTCCAGGTAGCTAACCAGATTGTTACAGCAAAATGACAATGGCCTTGGTCTCACAGAGCAAGACTCCGTCAACTACATGAAGTTTCTTTCCGAGGAGGCTGGAAAGTACAACATGTCCATTGGCCTGAAGAACGCCGGCGACATCATCAGCGAGGTCATCGACGTGATCCACTTCTCCGTCAACGAGCAGTGCATCCAGTACTCCGAGTGCAAGACCTTCTCCGCCTTCATTGACGCTGACAAGCCCGTCTTCAACATCGAGTACCCCGACAGTGCTCCCAGTGTCGCCACCACCGACAAGGACGAGATCTGCTCCAAGAAGGGCAAGGCTGACGGGACCGACGGGTTCAGCATCGTCATCAAGAAGATGAACCTCGACGGCTGGGTGGAGTACTGCGACGGGAAGACGTATGAGACAAAGGTGAACAACACCAGCAGCTCGTAGCCAATACGCGAATCGTCTCACTTGGATATTCAGGGCCCTCTTTTTTTTTTTCATGTTCAACCACTGTTACGTGGAGCGATGTTTTGTCTTGCCCAGCGACCTTCTCCGGCATTGTTGTCATAAATTTTTATTTAAGCTTGTAATAGATCCATGCCCGCCTTTAACGTGGTAACATACTTGGAAATAATATATTCTTGTGTGATAAATCTATTCATCCAACCATGCCTACCCTCTCTGGGGGAAAGCAAGATTAGAAAGATTAACATTACAGTTTGAACCATTTCATACCTATCTAAGCGCTCGCAGTCCCAACCCGATCAAGGAAGTGATCCCATGCCTGCGGCCACTTGGTGAAGAAGCCTCCCACCTGCTCGGTGATGTAGATACCCCCCAGCGACTTGGACTTTGCCTGCTGGACCAAGTCGGAAATCTCCTCGTCGTCGCATGTGTGGATGATGACAAGGGACTTGGGGCAATGGTCGGGCGCGAGGGTCTCAATAGCGCTCTTGACATCGTCAACGTTCCAATGGGCCGCAGACTGCTCAAACGTGACAACATAGTCGGCGGAGTCAAAGTAAGCCGCATGCGCGACGACGCCGGGGTTGAGGATGTTGATGCTGCGGCGGCCGAGCGCGCCCTCCCACGACTTGCTGGCGTACTCTGTCAGGCTAGCCATGTATGCGACCTTGTCCGAGCTGGAGGGGGCCTCGTCGACAAAGATCCCGTCGACCCTGAACTGGTCGTTCCAGCCCAGGTAGACGTCAATGTCGCGCCGGATGTCGTCAACCGGGCGGCTGCCATAGGTGCAGTGGACGTAGCCGATTACGTGAATATTGCAGACTGCGTTCAGCTCGCGCAGGGCGGCCGCGTAGCTTGCATCGGGCAGGGCGGAATCGCCGGGACCGTTATGGGGGTTGACGATGACCAGGAATCTGACGTTGGGATGGGCCTTGGCTGCATGGAACAGAGGCTCCCAGGCCTTCTCCAGTGGATAGATGTACAAAGGTACGATTACGGAGAGGGATGGTGAGGAAGTCATGTCGGGTTGATTGGACGAGCGAGTTTTTGGCGAGGGGAATGTCACTTCTCTGACTTGCACCGAAAGCGAAGTTCTGGAGGGAGGGCCAGAAGCACACTCACCAAAACAGATGGAGGGGCGTGGGTGGAGGGGAGTGAGGTAGCAATTGGCCGGCTAGGCGGCTCTCTCCGGCTGCTGGAGAGAAGAAAGATGCAATGCAGAAGCAGAAAGAAAAAGAAAAAACGGACGCAAGATTCGAGACCACTGCAGTAGTGACAGCTGCGGCTGCACAGGCCAAAAGTTCGTTCTAGTGATGATTGAAGTGTGGTGTTCTGAGTAGACAAAGGCAAGCGGGGGAGGAATGTCTCATTCAAGAGAGATGGGGCAATGCTATCAATGGGAGCGGGAAAAAAAAAAGTGATCGACGTCTTTGTTCTTCCTTTTGCCGGCCGCATTACAACAGTCGCACTTGGCACCCTTTCATATACCAGCTGATGCACTTGGCGTTGCGGACTGATTGACGGGCAAACAAGCTGAATCGCAATGACGGTTGGCGGCGGCGCTGAATCGGAGGCCCCTTGGGGCAGTGCGGCTTGTCCGTTTCTGTCCGTGTCTACATGCGGTACCTAACTAAAGGACTGAGGATGATGACGCCTTGACAACAAACAATCGTCAGGTACGAGAAAATCAGGTGGCTATCACAATGTATCAGATACGTCCTGCGGAAGACGCGGCAGTTCTCGCGGGCCCGGCGCTGATCACCTCGTTTATCCCAACGCAAAAATAGACGGATACGATGTCCGGTCTCATCATCAGGCAATGGCGGTGACCAACAGACTAAGTCTGCATCTACGTGCCCGTGTCTCAGGAATAGTCCACTAGTCAGCGAAGCTGTGTCATGAGGATACAAGTATTCAGCTGAAGACGGCCGGTCTGTGCGGTTTAAGTCGTTAATTCCCCGAAGGGGAATTCCGCTGCGCTACTGGTCGGCCGTCAGTCAGATCAGATGAGGTTAAACAGACACAGGTCACGTCAATCAATACTCTCTAATAGACTATACAGATATATGCGGACGTACATACACACTTACATGGCACGACATGGGGATTACTGATAGTGATATCTACACTCACCTCTCCCCTGCGGGTGATGCAGCCACCCATGCACCCATAGTGTCTATTTGGGGCCTGGGCAGTCGGGCAATAACCCTTGAAAACTGCCCGTGCTGGTGCGTCCACCCATGTCGTGGACGCAGTAAAATCCAGCTCGCCCAGCCATCTCGATGAAATGGTACCTGCTATTCATACATCCCTGGGCTCATCGGGGGTGGGGGACACAACCACCCTCCCTGGCCCCATGCGTGTCTGAGCTTAAAGACCAAAGAACCCTAGCAGATCAGCACACGTCGTGGCTGCGTGGCTTGCCTGTACATACATAGTAGCAGCTGGGCCATCCTCCACCAATCCGCCCATAGACACCTGGTCATGATGAATAGATAGTCTCTCCAAACTAACTTTGCAGCCGTCGGGGTCATGAGGAGTGGTAGCATGTAAGATAACTACCAATTTTACATGGCCAGACGGGCTCTTGGTACTACGTAGGTGGCTGTAGGCGCGTGGGACCGCCCTTATTTCCAAAGTATCGATTTTTAAAATTTTCGTCTTTGGCTCTTTGGGGCTGCTGTGGGGTGTGTTGGTGGTGGTGCTCCGTTCTCTCGCTGGTGGTGGTGGACTGGTGGTACGATCTCCTCATTTCTCCCCCCTCCGATGGCAAGGGACGAGGCTTCAGGCGGTGCTACACTGGCCTGCAGTGATGCGGCCTGGGCTCCGAGGATTTATTTCTCCCGCCTCCTTTGCGTAACATCGTGCGCCGGCTACAGTTGTATTGTGCTGTGGCGTTAAACCGCATGTGGCGCTTCCAGAACGGAGTGAGGCGCCGTGTTACGGTCCAGAAGGAGAGGCTCCATTTTCAGTACGGGGAGGCAGCATCGCTAGAAGCGTTAGCAGAGGGCAAGTGTGGGGAGCGGCTGAAGGTGAACTGGAGCCCAGAGCAGCCGCTTCACCGAGCAGTTGTTGCTCGGTGTTTCCCGTGGTGACTCCACTCTGACAGGCGGTAGTCTAATCCCCCTCGTGGGGGAAACATGGCATCAGCATTCGAGGGAAACAGAGTTCTCCGATATGCTTGCTTGCTTAAAAATACACTTCAATCACTGAGTGGGACGTGGCCGAGTGCACGTGTCGCTTATTGCCACTGCAAGTAATAACGCGTGCGCTACCGGGGGAGGAGGCATCTCACTTTCACTCCTCGTTGAGGAGGGATGGATGGGTGGGTTACCACATGGTCAGCCCGCCAGGCACGAAAGAAATGGCCCGAACTAAGAGTGAGATTGATTTTACCCGGTTGCAAAGCATACCAACTCTAAACACCCCGCCATTCAGCTATCCTGAGCTCATCATGCAATCATTTCAATATTGAGATGCAGTGCAACATAGGGTAGCCCCCGGAGCATCACCAAATGGGTCTATGTGGATATTGCCCGGAGTGATTACTGCCCACCCGGCGGAACAATAAAAGCACACCAATTTTAATGCTGATAATTTGTAAGCCAATATTATGTACTCCCGGCATTGTGTACTTCTAGTACTTTCAGAAATGAATACAAGGCAGGCAATGAGGACATGGCGATAGTTACAGGAGCGCGCGGCTGAGGAGGTAAATTGCAATCGTAGTAGTCAGAGAAGGAAGGCGGTCTGGCATACAATAATCCGTGTCACGTGAAGAAACAGCCACCACTAGACCAAAGCTTGACGACATTTGAAGATTCAACGACAAGGCTCAAGATGCAGACCGGCAAAACGAATCACTCAAGCATCTCACAGGTAGGAGAACGCTGAAAAAAATTTGTTCGAAGAAGAGATAGTGAATTAAAAACTGCACGCCTTTTTGTCGCTGTCTATGAACAAAACCATGCCCGAAATTACCATTATAACAATCCTGAGAATCTTGATGCCAACATTAGAGGAAGTGCCCTGATATTACCCGTATTAACCCATTTTTAGACAAAGGAAATTCGTCACTGCAAGGCCTCTCGGCCTCTACTGGGCCTTGATGCCCTTGTGCTTCGAGACATAGTTCCACAGGTCCCTGGCGCACACAGGGATGGTCTCCTCGGTTTTCCAGCCGAGCTCCTTCGCAGCGCGGTTGTTGGAGGCGACGCAGAAGCCGACGTCACCGTCGCGGCGGCCGACGTACTCGCAAGGGATGGACCTGTTGGATGCAACCTGGAGGGCGGCGACGGCCTCCTTGACAGTGGTGCCGGTGCCGGAGCCGAGGTTGAATGTGCGGAAGGCGCTGGTGGCCTTGTAGTCGATGGCCTTGACGTGGCCGCGGGCGACGTCGGAGACATGGATGAAGTCGCGGACGGCGGTCTTGTCGCGCGTCGTCCAGTCCTCTCCGAAGACGTGGAGCTTCTCGCGCTCGCCGGTGAGGACCTGTGTGATGACCGGGAACAGGTTGGTGGGGACGCCCTTGGGATCCTCGCCCAGGAGGCCGGAAGGATGGCAGCCAATGGGGTTGAAGTAACGCAGGGCAACGATGCGCCAGGCTGGGTCGGACTTGGCAATGTCAGCGAGGATGGCCTCGCAGAAGTACTTGGACCTGGCGTAAGGGCTCTGCAGGCCGGCAACGGCGGGCTTGCACAAGACCTCGTTGTCGTCGTCGTCCAGGTACGTCTCGTCGTGGTGGACGAGGTCCTCCTCGCGGAGGGGAAGGTTGTCATCGGCCTTGGTGCCGTAGACGGTGGCGGAGGAAGAAAAGACAAACTTGCGAATGTTGTGCTCGCCAAGGAGCTCGACAAGATTTACGAGGCCGCAGACATTGTTCTGGTAGTAGGAGATGGGAGACTTGATCGAGTCGGAGACTGACTTGAAGGCGGCGAAGTGGATGACACCGTCAATGAGGGATTCCCGGGTGATGGGATCGACCTCAGTCTCGAGAAGGTAGCGCATGCGGGACGACCTGTAGTCGAACTTGTGGAACTTGAGCGTTGGCATCTGCTCTGGGATACCCTCCTCGGCGTAGTAGTCCTTGGCAAGCTGCTGGATGCGGGAGAAGACATCGGCGAAGCTGTTGCTCAGGTCGTCGACGACGATGACATTGTGACCAGCCTTGAGAAGCTCGAGAGAGGTGTGGGAGCCGATGAAACCGAGACCGCCGATCACCAGGATGGATCGGTTGGCGTTGGCCGGGAAGAACTCGCTGATGGTAGCTCCGGGAGTGGTGGGAGGCGTCCCGCTGGCGAGAGAGACACTCGAGGACGAGGCCTGGGAGTTGACGTATCTGTCCATGAGTTCTGGATGGGAGCTGATGGTGATGGTGGGACAACTGAGGTAGGAGAATGAAGTGGCTTATATGGTGTTGGGAATACTGCTGAACCAAGAGTAGGAAGATGTGGTCTATGTCCTTGTGGGTTGTTGATACAGCTGGGGAGCTAAGAATCCATCCTTGCAGGGAGCACGGCAAGCTTTATATCCAACGTGCCACAGTCCAGAAGCCAAGACAGTCCTGCGGTAAGGCACTGAGGATGGACGGCCTAGGCTCTCCGTTCAGGCAAAGGCACCGGCCGAGAAGAGTCTGACCAAGACGTCGACCTGAGAAACGGAGGTGCTCAAGGAAGCCCCGGCCTGCGGTCTGGTCCTCCATGGGACCCAATAGTCCGAGAAGGCTTGTGCATTAACAGGGCTCTAGGACGGGTGGAAAATGAAACGATGCCGTTCTCACCTCAGTCTGAGTCGCGACCATCACCGTTTTGCGATCTCTATTATGGGTCCCCGACGCTCTAGAGACGGGCGATGGGTCAAAGAGCCCGAATAGCTCCAATGTGTTAACCGCCATGAAGTGGACGACAACGCTCAACTAGGTGGACCATGCTCTTCTAGGTTTGGGCTGCACATCGTACGGAGCTCTCCAGGGGCAGAAAGGGAGGGTGGGCGGATGGGGGGCGTAGGGTGTGTGTGATGCTTTGTTTTCCGAAATCCATGTCAATCAGACTCATTAGTGGCAGTGAGAAGGCTTGCCGCGGTTGTGAAAGCTCGCGGCTTGTTGGCGTGATCTCTTTTTGACACTCCAGCCAGCCATTGTCCAACGAACGGGCAGGCAGCTTGATGCGCTTACGGATCTAGACCTGCAGCCCAGGCACGGCGTCACCAGTAAGCCACAGCGGTTTGTGCACGCACCAGCATGAGGTGAAAATAACCATGTGCTGCGCTTACAGAGATACATTGGAATGAAGGGAACGGGATGCCACGAGTTGCTGAGGTAGTGCACCTCGGGCGCCAAACTACAGCCCTAAGCCATTGGGCTAAGGTGAAATTACCTATGACAAGCCATTAAGTCGCTGACCCATATAAAGGCCCGAGTTTCTGGTATTGGGTGACGGGATTTGCCTTGTGGCTCCATCCATTCTTCTTTCTCCCCTTCTCCCTCGCCTATCTGGAGTCTGGAATGCTAGAACAATGAGAGCTAGAACAACCGATTCAAGCCCACAAGGCGAACCCAAGAAGCTGGGACAGTCCGAGGAGCTCTGGAATGTAACAAGTGGGCTCGTACCTGAAGCTGGTAAAGTTGGGTGAAATGCCAATTTAGCATCAGTTAGCATCGAGCAGGCTTTGCCCGACTGGTCGTTGGTCGGTCCATAGCCACAGGAGGATCTCCTCGTAGTCGATATGGGACAGACGTGGAGTGGAGAACAAGACCAAACAGGCAATTCGCCCAAGTACCGAGACAGGAAGCGGCAGCCCCTGGCGAGCTGTTGGCTGTCTGTTTAGGGCATACACGAGACACTGCTTTCCACTCGCGGAAACACGAGAGAGACAGAAGTACAGCAGTTGGTACTGGTACTGCTAAGCTTGGCCAGGGGGGGAAGATGCAACCGTGTATCTGTACCCCCTGACATCGCCCAGCGGGGCCGGGGAGTGCGCAGGTGTTCCTGGGCGTGGAAGCCACCTAGTAGGGGAAAAGGTATCGGTACCTACCGGTATTTGCAGAGTGTGGGCTGGATCCCCGGGGGGTGGGGTGAGGTCAACGTTGTCAATCCTGATCCTTGTCGGCGGGAGCGGCTAAGATCGTTCATCCCGGTGGCCGGAGGAAGTGAATCCAGGCACAGGAGGGTGCTGAGGAGACGCCCCTCCCCGGCGCAACTGCACGGGCGACAGGTAGCGCGGTCCACTAACGGCCCCCCCTGACTGACTAACTGCCGTGGTGATGGGCCTCGTTCTCAGTGTCTTCCAGCTGCGCCATCAGCCACCAGGTGGTCTAGATATTCTCAGTTCAATTTGCGGTCACTGTCGCACAGCAGTAGGGCAGCCGCAGCATCGGGACGCGCGATGCTATCAGTGCAGCCACATTGGACGGGACGACTCAGACACGGCGCGTGATGCTGTCCAATGTCGCACTCAGGCGCTCACTCGCTCGCCTGTCCCGCCTGTAGTGAGGTTTCTCTCCATTTAGGCGCCTGTCTATTGGCAAAGGCGTCTAAGATGTCATTGCGTAATTTCGGCCCTCGCGTTCGTGGTGCGCAAAAAGAAAGGTCCAACGTCCAGCCACGCGCATGCAACCACTCTGCATCCGTGGGTTGCCGCCGCTCTAGCTGCTGCTACCTACAAGCCCTTGTCTTGCCTGCCCGCCTTGCATTGCCTTAGACGTGCAGCCAGCGAGAGAGAAGGACGCAACTGCGCACACATTGTCGCTGATGGATCTGATGGGACGGTGCCAACCCCATCCCCCGCCTTCTCGTCCAATGAACCTTTGCAATCTCCATATTTCCGCGCATGCTCATCTAGGCAGTTCATGTATTGATTATTTATATTACACAAAATAGGCTTCAATCTGACAATCTGACGAGAGGTAGCGGACGAGGCGGCAGGCCTCCGGAAAGAAGGCTTTGCGGCGCGCTGAAGCGTGTCGCCCTGTGGCTGTTCCTTTTCTCTCTATTTGCAACTCTCGGGCACATCGTCGGTCCAGACCGTATGCCGGCTTACGGGCCCGTGCGGTCAATTGAAACTGCCATAGAAATTGCCGGACGGGCGAGCGAGACAGAGCGCGTGCGGCGGCGTGCATACGGTCACTACGGCGCAGGAATAAGGGTCCAGACAACCAACCGGTGGAGGAGGCCCGCCTGCCTTGGGCAACAGCCCCGAGCAAAGATGACTGCAGAATCCAATACAATGCTGCAATATCCATTGTCACCGCACGAGGCGGCCGCGATGGCATCCACGCACTCGCTCGTCTGACACTGGGCTGGGCTGGGCTGGGCACATCCAGCTCGTGGCCGCTCGCAGCGGAGACCGAGGAGAGGTGGTACCCGAGGGCAGGAGCGGCCCAATAGGGCTCCTTCCAGATGGCCTGGATGGCCCCACTGGCTTGGCATTGCGATCTTCCACCTCGTTTAGAAATAGGTTCTGACAAGGGCCACGACAGGGTCAAGGATGCTCTCGCCAGCCGCTCTGCACCCTCTTCTGGTTCTGTTCAACTCTGGCGGCGATCATTGGTTCCCCCGGGCCTCGTATTGCCGTCCAGGCCCCGCGCCAGCTCAGACAGCACGCCTTGTCTCTTACCAACCGACAGGAATAGGCAGCATGCCCGTTTGCAGCGTTCTGGGCTGCTTCTATGCGCACATATGCAATACCGCCCATGCTATTGCCTCTCGGCATGCCATGCTACCTACTATGCCTATGCTGTGCTATTCCCAGCGCTGCGGTCCCGCGTCCCTCACTCAGCTCGCCCTCTGTGCCCTTTCCGGCCCCCTTGCCAGTCGTGTCATCAATATCACCTTGATGCGTTGTGCCCTCTCCACTCGGTCGCTTGCGTGCGGATACTTTCAACCACATACCGTGGATACGAACAAGCATGCCAAATCCCCGGTTGTTTTAGGCAGCGATTGGCGCTGTCCAGATCTCACGACATCACCATTCATCATCGATCAACGTTTCGGCCAAGCTAACAGCCTATTGTGAATGTAAAGAGTGCCAGCCGCCCCCGCGCCTGGAGCCAAGCCAGCCAAGTGCCTACCTAGCTTGAGCAGCCAAGTCACACTGGCTCCCAGCGGAGATTTACAATGGCGCTTGGGAGCCCAAGCGCAGGAACGGCGATCAAATTACTGACCCTTGGCTAGCGCCCCAATACTGGGCTTTCAGGTACTGCAGCTAGCTTCAACCATCGATACATCCGGACTAACAAAGAAGCCGGTGTGCGGTGAGTTTGCAGTAGTCCCCTTTAACCTTGGACAACTCTCTTTTTCTCTCACGACCCGCTTTTCGCGTGTTCGATTGTTTCTTCCGTCTGTGGTAGCTCGATTCTGTTTGCGGTGCTTGGCTGGGCTCCTGGGCGAGACGGGCTCCGAAGCGTCGGCATGCCCCAGCCCTGCTGAGTCTCCCTGCAGACTGGCCTCCATGCACGCACATACACGAACGCTCCGCAAGTCCAGTGGGAATGGACTGCCCGTGAAAATCCTCTTAGTGCGGCCTGAACGGCTGAGCTGTTCCAAGTTCAGGTCATCTCATGGGCCCCCTTCCGTGCGCCTAGTAAGAAAGCAGGGTTTCACCAAAGTCAATCTCGAACGCCCCAGACTACTAGCGACGCCATCTTTTCCCGCAGCTCACCCTTCCCAGATGATTCTCGTCTTGCCTGGCCTCGCTTCCCTGCCCCCTGCTCCTGAGTCTGGGTGCGTGCGAGCTCGCTGCTGCTTTGTAACTGCTGCTTCTCGGCCTCCTCGCCTCCCTTGACGGATCTTCACTTGTAACCTTCCTACCCAGTAAACATCCCTTCCTTTTCCCTACTCGGTGCATATCAATCTTCCATCTAATCCATCTCTCCTTTTGTATGAATCCCCAAGACTCACCTTTTGCTGTTTCCAATTCCCACTCTAGTCTCTTTGCTCGTCGTTCCCACCCGTACTCGCTCTCCTTCTTCATGGCTTGAGGCGTTTACCAGCATAGGTTCTCCTGCAAGGGGCTCTTTAAACCCCATCCCACCTCTGTTTCCTTAATCGACCCTCTGGTCTTCCCACCCGTCATTCGTTTGTTGCCTCCATCCGGACTGCCTCTGCCGCCGGCATGGCATCCTTCTTTCAGCCCGGGGTCAACGACCCTGCCCAAACCGATTGTGACCCAGGTAGATTCAAGATCTACTGCAACTCAATCCTACCAGTCAGTTCCTTGTTCTCGACTTGGTACCAAAAGTTCAACGTGATAGTGGGAGGCGTCGCTTTCATCATCCCTCTCATCTACTTGACCAGCCTGCTCATCTACCGGCTATGGTCAGATCGGTCGCGGAACCGTACTCGGTATGTAGTATCCTCCCATTTCCATTACATTGCCATTCCCTTCCCCACCCCCACAGTTGAAGCATCACCAAACACAAAGACATGTCTCACTGCATGTTGCAAGCTCTATCTAACACCTTGTATGAAGAGTACGGAGGAAGAAAGATGGTCCTGGACTGGAAGGAACTAAGAAGCTGCCTTCCATGTCAGCCTTCAAGGCGGCCAAGTCCTTTCAGATCTTGAGTGATTCCGAGAGCTCTTTGGCACAGCGCGGCCAACTACGTATTGAAACCCTGAGGCTGCCTCCAGCAGTCGGCGCAGATAGGGGCAGCGTGACAAGCGAGAGCGGCTCCATCTCGTCAAAGGCAGAGGGGTCAGAGTCCGAGACGGACAAGATGAGCATTGGCTACGTCGATCTCAAGACGCTTGCTGGAGATGCCCTCAACGTGTCTAGCATTTCTGCTACAGCTCAGAAGCTGTATGATACTCACAAATCAAGCAACTTGCCCGCAATCGCCATTCGCTGCGACAATGATACGTCCGCCGATCAGGTCAATCACCTCCTCGAGATCCTTCACTGGAAGGGTGTGCCGGTTATCATTCTGGCCCACCACGACATGTCCATATGGGACTCGATTGCCCTAGGAAACGCGACCGGTGTCATTGTCGAGAGTGCCTGCATTCTTCCCAACGGTGAGCGGCGCGATTACTTCAAGGCACGACCCCTCCAGACCCTCATGTCCAGGTGCAGCACGCAGAGAGAAACCCGACCTGATTTCTTTGTTGGATTCATGGACCTGTGGGAGAAGCGACCTCACCCCTCGATTATTCGCAGAAGTGTGAAGCTGGCGGAGCACTTTGGCGCTGTCATGGAACACGGTCCTATCGATCCCAGTATCAACTATGGCGGCCCAATTCGCGCTGCTGCAACCACTTTGAGTGGTTTCGAATACTTGCGCCGAGGCCCTTTGATCGATGTAAGTGAATAATTTGCCATGTCCGTCGTTCGTCGACAATTAAGTTTGCTAATCCATCTGGCGATTAGCTTCAAAAATTCTGGAGCACCGAAACGAGAAAAGTCCGAATTGCACAAGAGGATGAGGATGTGTCCGATATGGCGGCGCTGCCGCTTGATGGATTAAAGTCGGTCATCCCCAAGATAGATGAGTGGCTCTCGTATGAGCCAATGACCGATGATCTCATTGCAATGAGAGACGAGGAGCCGACTTATCTTGATGCGCCTCCCTACGAAGCAGCGGCACCCTTTCGAGAGAACTTCTGGGATATCTCTTGTCTAGGGCAGCGTCAGTCTCAGCGAGGATGTTATCCCATCGCATCCGAGCCGACTGCCGCCCAGTACGACGCTGTGGTCAAGACGCAGACCCATCTCAAGGAGCTCGGTATGCTCCAACCGTGGAAGGGTGCTGAGATTCACCGTCTCGTTACGGCTCTTCGTACTCTTACGGAGGCTACACCATGCCACGAACTTGTCCACGGGCTGATCGAAGGCCTTCAGACACACAGAATTGCCATTTACAAGGGCCTGGATACTGGCTTCGGTGTGGCCGACGGCGTGTCCTATTTTTGGGGAGTCTCCAACGCTCGCGAGGAAAAGGGTGGTACCACTGATCATGCTCTCGATATTTTTGTCTCTCTCAAGGTTCCGAATGATGCTACCACCATCCTGCACACTTGGCTGGCCCACCACGGTCTTCCCCGTGTTCAAAGATTCGAACTGGAGCACGAATTCGAGCGGGCCAACAATCTCAATGACAAGGACATTCCCATCAGCTTGAAGACGGGCATTGAAAGACTGAGTCATGCTGAGACACTGAATCTTATCCAGCAGATTCGCGTCTCCCAGCTAAACCACCCGTTCTGTGACCCTCTGATCGAGTATGCCCGCGTCACATTGATTGACGATGCATCTCGTTTTGCGTGGTACCACAAGTCCGCACTGAATACTCTGGCCGACTCCATGAGCATTCGTGAAATATTCCAAGCGAGGTTGGAGCATTTTGCTCGGGCTGGGGCTAATTTCCTGCCAACTGTGGATGGACTCGTTGCGCTTTATGAGCACATTGAGGTCATCGTTGAAGAGTCACTTTTCTTCGGTAACAGGGAACCATTGAATGTCATGACCAATGCTTTGCTCGAAGCCTGGGATCCTGAAACCTCAGGAGATGGCTACGATTATGTCGATGTCAACGCAGATTTATTTGCGCTCATCTTCTTTACCTTGCTCAGAAAGGCCGCCTTTGAGGACGTCTACATTGAGGCGACGGACCGATGCCCATTCTTCCTGTCTCTACCTGATCAAGCTGCCGTCTTCTCTGAGCTGTGGGTTCTTGGATCGCAGTGCGAGATTTACTTTGGTATTCTTCCCCGTGCCCTCGGAGCTATCGTCTACCGCCGCTACCGTGCGTTCTTGGGTGAAGCGCCACCAAGCGGAGATTCTCGCAAGAACAATGAAGTCATGACAATGTACTCGACGGGCGATGTCCAGCCGATTAATCCTCCCAAGAAGGAGCGCCAGCGCGACGGTTCCACCAATGCCAAGCTAACGGGAACCGAGAAGCTTGAACTCTGGAGGAAGAGATTTACTGAACTTGGCGCCATGTCCATCTTTTGTCTTCCGGCCATTATCGACGTCATTCTCCTCACCTTTGTCGGCCGTGGTGTGTTCATGACTGCCTTCATGGACCCGACACACCTTCAAGCAGCCAGTCTTGCCCTGCTCATCTCGCTGCTTCTCACATCCGGTGTTACTGGCTGGGTAGGAAGCGTGGGTAATTACTATCTGGTCAACTTTGCCTATGACAATATGATCTACTTCCACGTCGAGCGGCTCTCAGGTGGTTTCGTGCTCAGCCTTGTCATTGCAGTCTGTGGTATAATTGGATTCTCAGTCCAGTACAGCGTTGCTGTCGGCTTCATCTTTGCGGCATACCTCATGATCATGGCCACTTATTTCAACTTGCTCGGAATAATGTCCACCATGCATCAGCACAACAGTCCTCTGACTTCTGGTCGTACTGTCCTTTGGAGAACATTCCCTCTCTTCCTGGTCTCACCACTTCTTTCAGCCCTTGTCAATGGATATGATCTGCCAATCTATCTCTCCGTTACTTTTGCTTTCGTTTTGTTGGCCGTCTACCAGTACCGTCGACTCTGCCAGGAGTGGACATCGTGGATGCAGAACATTCCCAAGTTTTCCGAGAAAGATGTTATGCAATGGTACGAATCTTCAGGACTGATGCCTACCGAGGAGGCTACCGAAGGCGCAGAGGAAGGAGAGACGAGCAACAAGGACAAGGACTCACAGGAAGCCTTCCGTGTAGCAGTTGCCGCGCGACGACGTGGCATCAAGGGAACAACCGGCCCTGAGAATGAGGCCTTTGTCTCCAAGGTTGCCGCTGGCATGCCTTATATTGACTGGCTTTTGCAAAAGACCTGTGCTGGAACCAAGATACCTGATCAATTCAGTGCCTCATGGTTCACTCAGCTCGGTGAATCTATCAAGCAGCAAAAACAACTGGCTCGAGGACTCAAAGAGCACAATGTTTTGCTGCTTTTCCGTTTTGCTCGGTACGATCTTGGACAGAATCTTGGTCTTTTCTTGGTCGCACTCATGGATCGTTGGGTAGCCATTGTCATGGGTGCTCGTTTGCCTCACGGAAGTATGTACCTCGACTCTCGCTCACGATATGGTCTCTGTTTTTGTGTCCTGTACTTCTGCGCATCCGTCATGGTGTTGGACACTACCCTCCAGAAATACTGGGAGGTGCGATTCAAGCTTTCCGGGGAGAGGTTGGTCGACTACGAGCACGCGAAGCAGGTTTCTAGGGAGTGGGAGTCGAAGCGTCTCAAGACTTTTGGCGTGGCTCTCAGGGAACTCTTCTACAAGATCTTCTGCGTCTTCGGTCTCTGCACACTCCTTCTATGGCTTATGGTTGATAATCCTCGAAGCATCATCCTCTACTACTGCTATATTCTGGGTTATACTTGCGTCATCTTGTTCCAGTTCAACCGTTGCTTCACCACCAACGTGCGCGCACACATCACCATCATTCTGTCCTCAGCTGCCATCGGTTTCATTGTGGGATGTATCCTGCGAGCCATTCCTAGCACTGCCGGTTGGCTGTGGGCCGAGGTTATGGCTCAGAACGTTGCTGCCGTCCTCGCTGCAATTGGAACGACGCTCTGGTCATGGAAGGACTGGAGCTCGCCTACTCCCAAGGAGGACATGGATGAGAGCTCTGATCCCAATGACCCTCAGATGTTTATCCAGACCGGACTTAGTGCTGAAGCAAACTCTGCCGTCAAGGTTCCAATGGCCAAGTTGAATAGTCTCAAGGGCACAACTCTTGTTGATGATAACGGCTCCTTTACCTCCTCTGAGGTTGCCAAGCTGCTTCGTAAGAGTATGGAGGAGCCAAACATGCATTCTTCTGCGGCATCATGGTCCGACACTCTCCTTCAGAGGACGGTGAGCCTGTGGACTGAGCGCCGAATCATCGTAACCATCGCCAGCCGTCAACAATTCGTGCGCATGGGAATGGAAGACATTGTTTCAGTGAGCCAAGTCAAGCCTGGCACTCTGGAAATCACCGTCGGTTTCCTTGGAGACTCCGAGGTGCACCGTCCATCTTGGCAACCCCTGCTGGCTTCTCTGATCACCGAAGCCATGTTTTACCATGTTGCCCGTGCCGAGTTGCACCTTACCCATGCCCAAGCCGTCCGCTCTGAGCACTTCCTCCATGATACTCGTTCCATGTCTAAGAGACTAGACTTCGAGCTTGCATTCGCCGATGCAGGCAGTCTGACCCGCATGCGCCTAAGAACCAATGTTGAGCTCATGAAGCACCTTTGCCTGGACGTTGCTGTCGACGCGGAATGGGAGTCGATGCCTCAGTGTGTTCGCGAAGCTGTCATCAACCGTATCACTGGAGATGAGCTTCTCATCACCGAGGAGCTCACCCAGTGGGTTCAAGACAACAACGTTGACATTTCTACCATGGACTTCCATATTTACCTCTCCCTCAGCATTTACCAGAGGCTTTGCGAGAAGCGCCAGTCGACCCTGCCATTCTCCAAGGCCAACCAGACGACAAAGCTTCCTCCCCCAGCCTTGATGCCGGTCAAGATTCAACGCTCTCGTGGCCCACAGAGCTTGGTGCAGCACTGGCTGCGAGCAAGTGTCTCCATTCCCTTCACCTTCACCAAGTGGGTTGCAATCATTTCTGGTGCTGGTCCTGACATTGAGCGTGAGCTTTGGTACTGCTTGAAGGATGTCTACTTCAATCGCTTCATCCTCCGAGTCTTGCTGCAAATATGGAGATTCTGCTCCTTCGTCAAGGATCTATGGGTCTACATGCTCATCATCTATCAACGCCCTACACTAGTATCTATCAGCCGAGTCGCTCTCAAGGGCTCTCGACGTAAGCTGCTACGCACTTCCATCGTTGTTGAGCTCCCTCGCAAGACCATCACTGGCTTTTCCTCTATCGACGAGTCTGGTTCTATGAAACTGGACGTATTCGATGGTTCTTGCAAAGAAGCACCTTCTGAAAAGAAGCCACTGTTCACTGCTACCTATGACAGCCATCTTCGTCTTCAGACGCGTTGCGATAATGGTATTACATCTACCTACAACTACCCTCCTAATCCCAAGTTCAAGTGGCCTCTGTCCAAGGAACTCTCTGATGAGGGATTTCACACTGTTGGATTCTATGACAAACATGGACGCATCAGCCGGGGTACACTAACGATTGAAGACAATGAGTTTGCTTTCCAGTATCACTACAAGGCCACCCCCAAGGGCAACACTGATATTCTCTCTGCTGACTTCAAGCTTATCAACGACGAGTCAGACGATGTCCTCTCCGTCTTCTGGGGTGTTCCTGTGCTCGGTGATTATTCCAACTACGACTGGGTCCCCTCAGAACGCATCAGCCGTCTCGTCAAGGTCATTGACGGTAAGACTTACGTTACTGAAGCCGAATACCGCCATCGCCGTGACCCCCTCATTACTACGTACCTGCAAGAACAGGATGGTCGCAGAACTGCTATTGCCCGCTCCCCCAAGATCTTCAATGAGGAGGCTCTCTTCCTCGCTCGTCCTAATAACTTGTCCTTCGACATGGACGACCTCCTGGTCTATCACAACAGGCTTCAAGTGTCACAGATGAGACGACACTCAGGAAGGAAGCAAACATTCTTTTCTTACATCAACCCGGTTAACTGGATTGCTTCATGGGGTACACGTGTTTACCTGCCTGTCCCTACCTGGCAGATCCGCACTGAACTCTGGAATCTCTGGCTCAAGACTGATACCCTGGACGCACCGACTGCATGCTGGCTCGATGAGCTGGTGCTGCGTGAAGAACCTCGCCTCCGTGCTTACTGGCGCGCTCGCAACAGCGGTCAGCTGCGTGAGGCCAAGCAAGCGCTTGACAAGGAGATTGATCAGATTGTATCTGCCATTGACATTCAAACCGACGTCTCTGAAGTGTGCCTTTTACCCATTCGAACCACTGACTTGTACACTATGGGTCTTGGAAAGGATGCCACCCAGGTTACCACTCGCCCTGAAGACTGCTTCAACGATACCAAGGACCGAGTGTCGGTCATCTTCAATGATATTGGATGCTGGCCGGAGGCCCCTGGTGGTGTGTCCAACTGCCGAAGAGATCTGGTCAATGGTCACAGCACTATTCGCAACCACGTGTTGGCTGAATGTGCGAACGACTTCGGTATTCCTCGTTTCCAGGTTGAGAAGAATGTCCAGTCAATGAAATTGCTTCCTCTATGGGGTCTCGACGGCAAGAGTGCCTATCACGGCTTGATCGACAACTTACTTCAGAGCCAGGTCGATGAGAAGGTCCGGGACACCGATGTTCAGCGAGATATCGTTGGTGTTTTCATACCCTTGCTCAAGGCCTTCGTCAAGGGAGCACGTACCAGGAGCTACTCGCGCGCTGATCTCATCAAGTACACCAATGTCATGCTTTCTTTCTGCAAATACTACGAGCGCAAGGACTACAGCCGAACATGGTCATCTCCCGAGGTTGAACAGGCTTGGGTTGATGCCTGGCTGCTTCCATATGACGATCCGAACATTATTGACCCCGCCAAGGCCTTCGATATGGAGCGGCCAACCATGGCTGACTTCCGCGATTGCCTGGGAATCTATCTTGCCTATTTCTTTATCTTTTCCGTGAAGATCCCCGAGAGATGCCCTCGTGTCTTCCAGAGTACCCATCACGGAATCAGCAGTCTGTTCGGGATGATTCTGCGTTATCGTCGGGGAACAACCTTTGGCATCTGGGATCACGCCATTCTCTGGCGTGAGTGCTGCTTGAACATCAGTCCTGCCCAGTGTGAGCTTCCCATCTCTGTTCAGACCATGCTGCTTTCCGGTATTGGCCTTGCCACCCGTCTCGCCTACTTCCACGCCGACGTCATCATGCCCTGCACGTCGCTTTTCAACCCGTAAGTGTCAACCTATTTACATATTTATTAATGAATGAATTGAGCTAATAATGTACAGTATGTGGGAAGCCGAGATCGGAACTGATCGTGGAATGCTTGGTAGCAAGACCGTGTTCAACCGACGCATCGACCCTATTGTCAATGGTATCAGCAACATGGAGTCTTTCACCCCTGTTGACAAAGTCCGCACTGAAAAGCCCACGGTGGTCATGTTGTCCAACGTTCAGTCCATCAAGGGTATCAAGACTGCCATTCTTGCGGCCAACATCATCGTGAACAAGTACGGATTCAAAGACTACTCACTAGTCGTCTATGGAGCCAAGGATCGACAGCCATCGTACGCTTTGGAGATGGCCAAGCTGATCGTGGAAAACAATCTCTCTGAAAAGGTCATTCTAGCTGGTTTCGGTAAGCCCAAGGAAGTCCTCAAGGATGCTTGGCTCTTCATGAATTCGTCCATTTCCGAGGGTCTTCCTCTAGCTATCGGAGAGGCTGCCTTGGCTGGTGTGCCCATCGTCGCTACCGAGGTCGGAGCCACAGCCTTGGTGATGACAGACCCCGATGACCAAGATAAGCGGTACGGAGAAGTCGTGCCCCCCAATGACCCTCTGGCCCTGGCACGCGCTCAGCTCAGCATCCTCGGCATGGTTGGTCCTTGGGCCAAGTTCACTGAAGAGGCTACCATTGATCCTGCGGCGGCTGCTGCTGCTGTTCTTCCCGATGAGATCACACCAGCGGACGTTGATTGGCTCACTAAGCGTATGTACGCCAAGGTCGATGATCGTCGCAAGCTCGGTCTCCTCTCGAGAGAGGTCGTCTTGCACAGTTTCCACGGTAATCGCTACCTCCGTGAGCACGAGCAGATGTACTGGATCCAGTGGCACATTGCCCAGATGCGTGACGACAAGGCGTTGGCCGCCACTGCAGCTGAGACCTTCCGGTTCGGCACCATGGAGACGCTCCGCTACACAGATGAGGATGATGTTTCTTGCCAAGACGAAAAGGAAGCAATAGAGGAGCCGAACGCCGTCTTGGAAGACGAGGAGAATCAGCTCGTCCTGGATGCACTAGAGAACAAGACTTCCATGGACAGGAGGAGACTGAGCAAGCGCAAAACCATGAACACCGCCAAGCGACTCTCACTGGTCCGATGGCAAGATTTCAACGAACCTGAAGAGATCACTGACGAGAAGAGTCAGGCGGGATCGAAGAGACTGAGCAACGACCCCCATCAGGTCGACGCTACCAGTCTTGTCTAGCACTCCTCCTCATGGAGTCTCCCGGGGAGCACGAGGCATGTGAATACTGTGCCTACTGCGCCTCTAGAATAATTGCGGCAAAATATGCCTCTGATTGTACAAATCATTTTACGATATCATGAATACTGCTTTTAGAAAAGAAGTGTTTTTTTGTGTTTAGTTTAGTATCATACAAGTTTGGAAACAAAAAGGAAATAATTGTTGGTTCATATTGGAATAGTATTAGTTAATTTTTGGTTGGAAACCGGCCATGAGGTAGAAGCAGCGAGCACTCGCACAATATATATCCTTTATATAATAATTTCTTACTACTACCTTCATCTTTTGTCATTCATGTGTGCAAAGGTATCCATCCATCAGAAACACCAGAAACTCCTAAAAAGTGTCAAGATCATTCGTCCCTGTTTTCAAGAGAGCTCCCCATCATGTAACCAAATGTTGCGCCTTTTTCGTTTCCCCATCACAACGCCCAGAGCTATGTATGAAGAATATTAAGATGCACTGTATACACAAGTGGAGGAGCATTCAGTATTTGAGTGCCTTTGCCTCACACATTCCAACCACCAACGGAAGGGGCAGGTAATTTTTTAGGCACCATCACACCACACATTAAGTTTGACCCAGAAATTTGCTTCCCTCTTGCTTAAAGAGCCAGTCGCTATTAGCGTCCACCATAAAGTTCGTAATGTTAAATTCATTCCCAGGCCCAGGATGTTGTACCTGCTCTTGACTGTTTGGTCGGTCGATGTCTACTCCAGCGGGAGCCGTTTGGCCGTTGCCAGCCATGTTCTCTCCGCCAACTGGTAAACGAGGCACGTTGAAGAAGTCAAAGACATCCAAATACTCGAGCTCGTTTGGAGCTGGGGTTCTTGCTGGTGTTATACTTGGGAATCGGCTCATACTCCCGACACCCAGCTTTGGTTGCCTTGAAATGAGAAAGTCAAGGTCAAATGCAGTTCGACGCATATCAGATAGTATCTTCACGGAGCTTGGCGTCACTCCATCACCTTGGCGCTCGCTGTCACGATGTTCATCCAGAACCCTTTGAAGGAGCTCACAATAGCGAGCTGCTACGGGCCAGTAACGCCCCATTTCGCGAAGCGCCTCGACAAAGAAGGAAATTTGAGGAGATAGCTTCCGCTCAACAGTCGAGCCATGAACAAGCAGTAGTCTGGCGGCAACCCAGAGGGTGAATGCGAAGGGGGGGCCCAGTTTATGCAGGAGACTATTATTAATGACAAATTCGCCTAATGCTGCGATATTCTCGACGGCACCATGGCACCTCTGCGAAGCACTGTACGAAGGGGTGAATATTGGTGACCTAGTAGTAGGATAGGCGGCCGATGAATGTAGTCGAATGACGGCGGTATGGTATGTCGCGTGTAACATAACCCACCCGCAATTGAGGTTTTTGCTTCCTGGCTGGAATAGTTTTGCCATATTGCCGTACTCATTTGGTAGGGAGAATTTATAGGATGTGAGTAGGTTGTCGAGCTCCTTGTAACGCATTTGCCACTGTTCCACATCGCTCAGGGCACTGATGTCAACGGGCTGTTTGAGGAAATCATGAATTCGACCTAGGATGTTGAGAATCTCGCAGTGGAATCCGAACGCGCCAATATTCTCGGGCTTGCTGATATCATACTCCGATGTCTCTTCGTGATAGTCCCGAGTCTTGAACCATTTGGTCTCAACCTTCTGGTTCTTGATCCACAGATCGTCGCGACAAGGGAGAGTGCGGTCAATTTCTTTGTCATTGAGCGCAAATTCGAAGGCAGTTGCAATCGTGGCATATCTATCCAGAAGATATATCATCCAAAATAGCCTTCTTCGTGACTCCTCCTCGATGAAGTCCTTCGTTTCTGGTAGCACCATTGCACGTAGTGTGTAGATTGACGTGTAGTTGGGCGAGACGCTGAAAGATGTGCTTTCTACTGCGAGCCCCAGCTGGACTACGCCGCGGGTGATGAGGGCCATGATGTTCCACCCTGGCGGCCCATTGCTGTCACCGCAAAGATCAAGGGCCAGGATAACCAACGCCTGAAGAGACTGGACTGATGAGTTCTCCATTCCGTAGAGCAAAACTCGCTGCTTGGACACTTGGTGGTAATGCCGCCGCCGCTCATCGGTCAACCTTGAGTCATTGGAATATCGCATGGCCGTTGCCACAATTGCATGAAGAAGAATTCGATCCGTCTCCTGTAGGGTTGATGGACCAAAGAGGGAATCCAGGGTCGTTTTCCGATGCAGAATTGGGCACCAAGTATTAATATGTTTAAAATACAGGTCGACCAAGGCGTAGAGCAAATCGTACGGGGGCATATCCTGGTCCAGCGGTGCTGTACTAACTGAGGCGTTTTGAGACAATGTAACGGATGGCGAATGCATTGCGCCTTGACTGTTTGATCCGTAGTAGTCCTGGGCCGCTGCTGATGGTGGTAAACAAGTTACACCGGGAGGGCCAGATATGCCAGGCATTTGCATGTGCGGCTGAAATCCATCGCTTATCCCAGGAGTAGGCGGTATGCCAAATTCGAGGGCTTGAGAGCTCGGTGTGAAACTGGACACCTTCTGTAAGAAGAGAGCTGTCTCGGCCTGGGGTGTACGCATGCTTTCTGGTGGTCTGAAGACTGGCACGACTTCTCGGGGAGTTCCCTGATCGCTCGGCAGACTCGAGTTGCTGTTCCTCACACTTGGTGCATGATTCTGGCTGCCAGCCGTCATTGTCGCCTGGAGAATCTCTGCATGTGACTTGAGTATTTCTTCGAGTTTGTCGAGCCGCTGCTCCAGCTCCCTCCCATACCCTGCCCTCAATCCTGGTTTTCGGCGTTCCTTGTATTCGCATGCCGCGCTATTGCGGGTGCACCACCCGCATGATGGCTGACCACGGTCGCATTTTACCTACATTAAGGGATGCATGTTAGCAACAAGGTTGACCAAAGATAGGTGAAGGCATTCTGGCTCGGGGCTAGGATATAGATGTAACGAATCGGAAGGGTCGTTGATACCTTTCGTTGCTTGCAAAGCTCACACCTAGGGAGAATGGTGTTAGTAATGTCTTCCTTTTGAGTAGAAGCGGCCAACGTTTCTTCAGGTTCGGTGGCGTCGTTAACGTCGCCTTTCCAAGAACTCTCGCCAGATTCCTCGCCCTGCAAGGACCTAGAATCGGGAAGGTTAAGAGGACTTGGCATGGCTCGGGAATGCCCAAGACGAACTTCGGCACATGTCTCAACGGGATGAAGGAACAAGGCGCGTGTGATACCGAGCAGATGAAATGAAAGAGATAGTATAAGTGTGCTCAAACTGTAGGATAGAACGGACGAGAGGCCAGACGAACAGGGGGATGCCGGAGCATTGCCAGGGAAGGGAAGAGAAGAGAGACAGAGTGGAGGTAGAGTTCAATGTTATAGTGCCAGTCGCAAATAGAGTAGACATTCGGAGGAGACTCACGAGATGGAGATGGGGCGCTTCCGCTTATTATTAGGGCCATTGCGGGAGGACTCATCGAGATGCTCCTCATCGCTGTGGTCGTCACTCTCGAGGTCGTTCTGAACAGACCGAGCACCAGGGAGGGGAAGGGGTGGCGACGTGCGCTTGCCATTCAGATGATGGCCGTTCTGCATCATCACCGGTCTTAACTAGGCCGGCAGACGCCAGGGGCGCCGTTGCAGGCTCCTGTGCAGGTTTGCGTCTACTGGCTTGCCAGCGAATGCGACAAACAGACTGCTTGGCCGATGCGCGCCGGGGACCCAGCTCGAACCAGCGAAGGATAGCAGTGGGACCTGGAGGACAGGACGAGTGAGAGCCCGGATATCGCAGCTCGTCGCACCGAGCGCACGAGCAACGGGGGATGATGGACTCGGGACAATGTGTAGCGCAGAAAATGTCGGTGTTGTGAACTCCGGGCTGGTGCCGCGATGTGCGAAATTCATAAGCATAAAGCAGAGAGCACGAGGGTGCGAGTGGAGGCTGGGCCAACCCAAAGCCGAAGCAGGAGCCGACGCCAGGACTACGGCAGTAGCACACAACAGCCCGGTACCAGTACCTGGTTTTTCTGGGCGATGCGGCGGTGACACTGCTGCGAAATTACCATGCCTACCATGTATCGGTATGTTACTGGTTTCCCTGGGCCGTGCCTGCCAGATTTGCCTACGTCGAGCCAGGGAAGGAGCTCTGGAGCTTGGGAGGTAGGGCTCTCGGTTGGGGGGGGAGGATTTGCCATTGGCCGCTCCCCTCGTCCGTGTGGGGTAGCAGCGCATGGCGACACAAATGCGGAGAGCCGAGAGATTGTGGGCCACAGGCGCAGAGCCGCCATTGGCCAGCCCGTCACTGTCCTCATACGATTCACTCTCACTTGACTGCCCATCTCGCTGCAAACCTACCATTTTTGTTAGGGCGCGACCAGGACACGAGCAGCAGCTCACCAGGTCAGAAGCTGGAGGCGGGGCGCTCGTTGTTGAGGCCTGGCTGTCATTGGGTTTCATTTTCCCCAGACACATGCATGCTTCCCCCCCTTTACCGAATCCAGCGAAGGGGGCATGTGATGGAGGTCAGCGATGTGTCGTTGTCGGGCTGGCACCATTTTCTTCACTTCATTCGAGCAAGCATCATTATATATTACCGTCGCCAGTCACACAATCATCTCAATATGCATCTATCACCACGTCTCTATATCCATTCCCCCGATGTTTTTACTTTTATGGACCAGCAATCTCCAGGTTTTCTCCCTCGGTGCGCTTCGGCCCAGCCTCGGTCAAGCACATCCCCCGAAACCCGACGGGGTAGCTGCTCGTGACTAATGCATAAGTGGGTAGCATCCTGAGCCGGCTCTCTTGCACCAGGTGCCGGTGTAGGGTATGCAGATCCTGTTTGACGCTCTAGGGCTCTGATGAAGCTTCCGTTTTAGGCTCAACTGCTTGATACTCCGGCTCTTTGCCATCTCCTTTGGTATGAGGCTGCATCCAGCACCCATAGCTGGGTATTTGCCGGCCAAATCCGCA